ATTGACACATTCGCAGAGGAACGCAATCGATCCTCGTGCTTTTGCGTGCTTTACTCTTCTGTGCCCCTTTTTGTGTACACCAAACTTTCGCAAACCAAACTTTTGCATATAGCTTTGACGACGATGACGATGACGGTGGTGGTGACAACGCTGCACGTGAATACGAAGATGCGCGTTTGAGCAAGGAGATCATTCAGGAGATTGAATATTACCAAGCGGACCCTGTCATGGACTCGCTCTCTGTTTTCTTTTGCTGTGCTTTGTCCCCTACACGCACCGGCGAAGCATGCTAAAGAAACATGGCTTCCTTTCTCAGGGGATTGTGTCTGCGCATGACGCCCAGGATGCTTGTGCGAATATGATGCGTCGGCGGCTTTACCTACAGCCCTGGCGACTAGAGCCTAGTAGCTACGTCGAAGTCCACGTTGGTGCGAAGGGCGGGTGTCGCAGTATGTGAGTGTGGTCCGATTAAGAGCGACTGGGGGCTTTCCCCGAAGAAAAGAGGCCACCAGGATGATGATATGAGCCGCTCTCCTCCCTGTGCTGCGTAGTCTTATAGCAGGGGAAAGGACAGGCGGGTATGTCGAGGTCAGCTAGACGAAGGCCCCGGTGACCCAGTCTCCGTTTCCGAGCAGCTCGCTTGCTACTTACGACCCAGATAAGCTCTTGAGATTCTGCACTCCACTATCCAGCACAACACCCCACTTCATGTCTCATGCCCCATGAGTGAAACTTGTGCGGAGACAGGCCAAAAAGGCATTGAACACGGGAGAAAAAAATTCGATCATGCAATGCATCCGGTCAGCCAATAAGACACTAGAGGACAAAGCGCTCTCATTTCCTGCATTTGACATTCTCGTCGATACTGCCCCATGCTTTAGAAACACTCAACTTCGCATCAAGAACGACACTACAGTACCACCCAGTGCGGTACTGTTTGTCGAGGAACAGCGCAAATTTGTTGGATTAGTCGATCCAAGTCACGTTCGAAATGAGCATGTCCCTACGTGCCTAGACTGCCATGATGAAGATGCAGCCGGATCGGTTCGATGAGGCCGCTGCCCAGTGCTTGGAGGCACCAAGATTCCTGCATCAACGGCACCGACCAACGCCGCCGGAGAGTCCAGGGCCGTAGGCATGTTCTACGTTTCTTTGAAAGATCGCTTGCGTACTGTTTCCAGGAAAGCAGGTGTGACGTATCCAGGGAAAATATGGAATATTACCTGAGGGGATAGAGCCAGTACTTGAGGGTCTTGAAGCAGGGCATACAAGGACCTTATGTATAGCAAGAACCTGTGCAAAAGTGTCGGTAATGATTGAATAGGCTGAACTGCTCCCTGTGGAATCAATTGCAGCTTCTCCACATATACCTAAGAAAGGGGGCTTCTAGCCATCCTAAATGTGCAACGCCAACCTGGCGGCATCAACACACCGACTAATTTCCCCATTTGCTCAACTTTATTATTTTCAGCTCGCTTGGCATGCTCAAGCCTTTCTTCACATTCTCGAATTTCTCGATTTAGTTGCAACAGTCGATGCTCTGTGACTGTTGTAGCATCGCTCCGGTTGGGAAGTGTGTTTTCAAATTGTCTCGAGTCTTGATTGTGTGAAAACTGTGTTCTGTTGCGCAGCGAGTAGTGGAAAGTATACAATAGTTTGATAGTTTTTCTTTGTTGACAAAGTGTCTCAATACGCTGCATTAAACCTGCGTGAACATCAGGGGAACGAACCACTCGGCATATGCCAGTTATGAGTAGGAAAACGTATTCTGGAGAGTCTCCTTGGCGAGTCAGGACCTAGGAAATCTAGTCTATGTTAAATTGTAAATCATGCGAAACTCGGACAAAAGCAGAATTTGGTGACAGCCTTCTCTCTCGCGATAATCCAGCAATTTTTGCTACTTCTCTCGTCGGCCAGCTTTCAAACAACCCCGACCTATAACTGCAATAAAGCATCGGAAACTTGGAGAGTCTACCTTCTCAAGAAAGAAAAACGTCGCTGAAGGTTTTGGTAGGCTATGTTGCGCAGGGTAGCATCAAATACTTGTCGCGGGATCACAAGCAGCTCGGACGGTGCCTCAGCCTGATAGGTCTCAGAAAGCGCGGCATTGGTCTGCTGCTGATAGCAGACATCCTTATGGGCCACATCTACACTGGATGTCGAGGCAAGTAGCATGCTATCACCGAATATGTCCCCGGCCAAAAGATGGTCAATAATAGCATGTGTACCATTACCGGATCGT